CCATCTTGGAAGATTTAAAGCATCTTTGACAGGACCCTTGCTATTCTCGAAGTATTTTTAAATTGGTAGGATTTTCATGGCTAAGGATATGGAGAAGAAATTGACAATGGAACCACCCCTCTGTGCTACTGTGAGTGTGTTTGCAAATTCGAGACTGACAAAGTTAAGAGAACTTGTCAGAAGTGAATCAAAGCTGGAGATGAATACCGACATATCACATAACCTGCCATAATTCTCTTTTCAATGCATTCTATTGCACAAATTGTGTACCATCTTTAAAGTTATTGACTTTTAGAAATGTGCTAATCCAAATTATCTGCAGTGGACAAATTCCAATCAACTCAAAATACAGGTTTTTCGCATCTATTGCTTGTGCTCTTGAAGAGTGCCCAAGTTGACTGCAGTGTCGACTCCTCATGGGTTTTCCTGCAAAATTAGTGAAGCAAAGTTTTCACTAACGAACAGATGTCTTGAAAGGGTCTGGGAGTAAAAGGAAATAACTTCCTTCCCACAGTGCCTCCTCCCATCGCAAACAGCATGTGCTAGTAATTGGGTGTATCTGCAGTCCTAATATTTCATTGGTTATTATGCTTTCATGTGCTTCCATATTGGCTTTCCGATCATAGAATGGATGTTGTTTCTTGGTAGGTCTTATAGTAAGGTGGTTTTAAGTTATAAGGGTTTTGCCGATTAGATTTAGTTTCGCTTTCCTTCATATTATTGAAGCCTTACAAAAATGGCCCGTATATTTCAGGAATGGGTTATTTTTTTCATTTGTAGAACCGTATTGATTATGAGGCATTCATCAACTCATTCGTGAAGTTCTATCGGTCATGTTTGATTGGTGATTTTCAAAAAGTAGAGTATCTGCTGGTGCGCTATTGATTATATATTATAGAGGATAGGAAGGAAGACAAATGGGTTACTAATGGTAGTAATTTAATGTGACTTTTCTGCCTCCAAGAGATAGAGGAAGGTAGCAGGAGCTGTAGATAGAGAGGCACTGGCGGATAGACCTGATTGCAGGAGTTGACTGACGAGAGTCGAATAGATTCGTGCTAGAAACGTCAAAGTCAGGTCTGGAGAAGATTTATATCAAGTGGCAGGCTTTATGATAGCTATCATTAGCCTTTTGGTGGACTTTGGGCTTCACAGAGTGAAGGAACTGACAAAGTCACAAAAAGTCGAGAGGGGAACAGAAAAGTGGCTCACAGATGTACAAGAGACAGACATAAAGGTAAAGAAAAAAGGTATGGTGAGTAATATGGTAGTGGTCGAATATGACATACAGCTTAGTCATGGTATTTTGTGGTCAAAAGCCAACTGCCGGTTAATAGACTATTTTGTGTATGAGCATACGTTGCTCATGGTGCTTCACGTGGAGTTAAGTCCATCTCACACTCCGATCAGGAGAATATTACACTAGGGTTTATATGTATTGAAACTGTAGACAGTTGAATTATTATGAAGACCTGTTTGTGTCCAATCGAGAAGAGAGACATGACGAGAAATGGACTAAAATTGTGGGGGAGGGGAGTGTTGTGGAGCTATTATTTTAGTATTTATAGATGTGCGAAAGCATACACAACAGTAAGGTTTTGTTGATTGGTAGTCCCCTGACAGCCATATGGCTATCATATAGCATTAACGAAGGCCCCCTCCCCTAATGCCTTTGTATTAATGTGTGTTTAGGTGGTTATTACATATTAAGTTAGTTATCAATCTTCAGAAGCGAATATTTTGCGTCCGTTTGTGTTTTAGTAAACACGAATTTCACTCCCCCCCCCCATTCCAACTCTTCCCATATGGAAAGAAAATAAATGCCTGAAATTAATCCTCTCGGTTTAAAACAAACTTGTTGGCAACATAAGGTGAGAATAGTACTTGAGGGAAATTGGTGTTCTGTTTTGGGACATACAACTTAACGAGGCACTTTACGAATTTAAATTTTTTATGCGATTACTATTTTTAAGTTCACATCATTCTATTGAATGCGCATGTCTAGATTGTCGTAATTTTTATCGATTAACGACGCAGAGAGCATACTACTCAACTTTACTTCTCAGTGGGTTACAATTTAGTCTTCTTCTTCTCCCAAGTCCCAATTCTTTTCCACATTTCTTGCTAGCGAACAGTACACCTAGGGTCTTGCTCGAATCCTGGTCTTCTGACGTGAGAAAGGTTGCTCTATTTCATTGAGATACAGCCACATATATTTCAGACAGAGGTCAAGTCGTGTGCATAAGTCAAAGTTGTACCGAGAGTTTGCATATTCGTGGAGAGCTATTCACTCATATTTTTTTTCAAATGCAAATGTTCTGCTCTGGGGTAATTGCGGGGCAAGTTCATTCTCTTTACTACCAACGTTTCAACAACTTAATATTATTTATAATAGGGTCATACATTCTGGGACATGGATATCTGGATGCTGCCGTGGTTGAATTTGTTCCATCCATCTCTCTCCCAACTGGCTCTGAATTATCGTTACGCAACCCTCCACAACGCAGAACTACGTGCTAAGCGTGAAGGTTATCGTGGGGCGCGATTTGCCTGGGAAAGCGCTAGAACTGGCAAGTCGTCCACTAAGTCGTCTGTATAACTAATATTTTCTCTCTATTTAAATTGAATTTGAAAATTCCAGGTCTAGAGACAAGCCCTTGGGATCTGTCCGCAAATCTAGAGATCCATGTCATCGCTAATGTCTCCATCGCTATTCAGAATTGGCTCTGTCTCAACGTCACTCCAAATGGATATGCTTGGTACGTGAGCAAAGGTCGAACTATTCTCAATTCCATTGCTGCCTTCTGGGCCTCAAGACTTGAATTTTCAGCCGAGAAGGATGCTTACGTTATCACAGGTTGGAGAAATTAGTCCATTTCGTTGAAATCCAGTTGCAGCAGTTCGCTAAAACTATCGTTTCCCTCCCCCACCCCCTCCCTTTTAGGCGTTATGCCTCCGGATGAATACTGCCATAGTTGTGACAATTCGGCTTACACCAACGCGGCTGCATCACTGGCTTTGTCTGGTCCAGCTGTTATTTCTCGATTGTTTGGTCAAAAGGTCTCTGCGGAACAGGACATTTGGGAGAATCTCTCCACCAAGATTTGGATGCCATTTGATGAGAAAGATGGCGTTATGCTGGAGTATGAAGGCTATAAAAGTGGTAAGCGCTATTGACTTCTTGTTCAATTCATAGGATTAAATCTGAAGTCATGTAGGGTGTGTATTCAAGTTTCATTTCACCTTAAACAAAAACTTCCCCTCACAGTGAAAATTTCTTCATTTAGGTACTATTGTGAAACAAGCAGATACCGTTTTACTCAGTTATCCCCTCATGTATGAGCAGTCAAGAGAAGCCAAGATCAAAATGATCGAGAAGTATGCCGCGGTAAGTTGCATTCAATACCGCATTGACTTATGAGTAAAACGCATACTATTTATTGCGAAACTTTATTGATTGATTCAATTTCTGATTGGAGACAATTTTTTTCCCCACATTTTAGGTTACTTCGGATAGTGGACCAGCTATGACTTGGGCTATGTTCTTTATAAGCGCCTTGGAAGTCGGGGTACTTTTTCCAGATTATGGACTTTTCTGTTATTTAAGAGTGTCGATTGTGCAATATTTCTGCTTACTTATTCGTGCTTAGTAGGTCGGCCCTTAAATAGAGTTTTTTTCGGCTTGTCAAATCAATTTTTGCTTTTTTAGTTAATTGAAAGCGCGTTCGGCTACTTTGATCGGTGTCTTCTCTATTGTAAACCACCTTTTTACGTAAGTGGTTCATTTATCTGTTTTTTATATATATATTAAAATCGCTATTTGTTAGCATCCCTTCATAAGGTAATGACTCTTCTACGCTGTTGTACATCTGGGAGGAAGTATAGTTTGTGTAGCTAATATCCATGCTCCCCCTAGACACATCATCAGACAACTGGTGAGTCAAAACTGAAGCCACCTCAAGAATGTGCCGATGGAAGGAGCTTGTCAATCCAACTTGTCAAGATTTTTAAGCCCATATGTAGTTGCATTTTGTTTGGGCTGATAGGCGTCTGGGTGTTACCAATAATTTTATGAAATTCTCATTCTGCGTAGTGCATAGACCTCGCTAAGTGTAAAACTTAGGTGAGACTAGGCACGCAATGCCCAGCCACATTCTTCTTACTTTCGTAAACGATCGACTAACTCAATATGTCTTATTAAATTGGTATACGAAGTACCGATGCTTTAGAAGTTTTCCAAAGCAATGAAATTAACAGATAGTCCAACTAGATAAAGGTGAGGTGACATGGCCAAAGCTAATGACGGAAGCATGTACGTAAATAATAGTATCGTAGTCGATTTGGATCACCAATAAATCTGTGGCTTCTGTTGAAATAGGTTTGGTCAGAGCAGTTGGACGAGGTGGGGGCTAAAAACTTTGTAACCGGTTTGGGTGGTTTCCTGCAAGCTATAACGAATGGTCTTGTGGGAATTCGAGTGATCACTCAGTACGCGGAAAATGGACAACTTGAACCCGTTCTCACCATTTCTCCAAAGATGATTGGTCAATTTTCCAAGAGAATTCATTGTGCTGAGGAGAGGTCCATATGCACAAGCCTCCAAGTCTATGGGCTAGCCTTCGCCGGACGCCGAATCGACATTGCCTTGGATGGATTTTCGAGGAAAATTAAATTCACCCTCGTCTCGGGTGAGCCCTTGATTCTCTCCGAAGGTTTCGACGGTGTTTACAAAGGCGTGCTCAAGGAATACGTTGAATTGCCATTAGATTCCACATTTAGGCTAACACCATCGAAGTCTTTCTAGTAGGTCATGAAATACTGAACATGTACTTGATCATTGAAAATTTTTTTTACTCCCAATGAGAAACATATTTATGCTTTCTTTATCATGTCACCAGAAGATATCGTTACTTTCATTATTTCTCTTGCTGCTTTTATTTTCAAGATTACTTAAATTTCATTCCAAACGCCAGATAAATTCAGAATAATGCTTATGTACTTTAATTTGAGGGTTCAAAATCTCGGCGGGTTTTAAGAATGCAGTCCGAATATGTATGGGAAGTTAGATTAACGATTGAACAGTCTTCACTGTCGATGGTTCGAATGACTACATTACAAAAGAAGTGCTGAGAACATTTGATCTCAGGCATCATTGCCGTCGTGGTCAGGTTATGATCGAGAGATGTCCCAATGACACTTCTCAAGCCACTTCCGGGTAGTAGATAACGACTGCATTAACAACTGGTAGTTTCGATTTGGAGCCGCTTTTGCTTAGTTATTGTGTCATCTTGGTAACGATGTTGGGAATATGGACTAGCTCTCCTTATATCCCTGAAAACTCAAATTTACTATGAAGAACCTGGAATAGGGAGCGAGGTTGGATGGCTTGTCTTAGGACAGCTGACTGCTGTCTCCAGGCTTGTACGACTTCCGTTCTTTCAGTCAGATCAGCAGTGTTGCAAAGGGCGTCCGTTCTTCCAGTCTGATCAGCAGTGTTGCGAAGGGCGTCGCGCTTCCAGTCTGATCAGCAGTGTTGCAAAGAGCGTCCCTCCCAGTCTGATCAGCAGTGTTGCGAAGGGCGTCCCTCTTACACTGATCAGCAGTGTTGCGAAGGGCGTCCCGCTTTCTTTTAGCTTCCTCAAGGTGTTTGGACCAAAACACTCGATAGTGTTTATGGTGTTCAAACCAAAACACTCGATAGTGTTTAGTCTTGCCACGAAGAATAGTTTCCTTTGCACATCGTATCATAAAATTCGTGATATCGCAGCAAAGTTTGTCAGGATGTTGGTTGAAAGTGAGGGGACCTGGGTGAAGTTCATTCTCTAAAAGGTTTGTGAAGCTAAGCCTGCCAGCCTTCTTGAAGTTCCATGATAGCTTAGTTGGCAATTTCCTTGTTTCTTGAAGTTCCATGATAGCTTAGTTGGCAATTTCCTTGTCATACCCTTGGTACCAATGGCAATACTAGCAATGATTGGTTTGTGATCAGAACCAGAATCGTCAATAATTGTGCTGTGTGTATGCTCGCTGATGTCGGTTGAAGCCAGAAGCAAGTCAGGAGTTGTTCTGGTTCCATTGTAGTGCAAATATGTTGCGGGATCTTCATTGCTGCTAATAAGTTCTAGAGGGCTGCCATTTAGCATGTCTTTGATTTCTAGTACCAGAGGGCTGCCATTTAGCATGTCTTTGATTTCTTTTCCAGCTATGTTTGTATTCTTATAGCCCCATCTGGTGGAAGGGAGTTGAAGTCTCCTAATACTACAGTTTTGTGTGAGATGCATAGAGAATCAAAGCTTGGACAATTCTTGGGTGGATTATAAACTGCGTATATCTTAAAGTGAATTTGACATTTCCAAACATTTAATCTGTTTATTTCGCATATGCCTTGCCTCGAGCCAATACTCTTGATTGGATCGTAATGTGATGTGAAGCCTTCATTCACTTCAGTCAGAATTCCACTTGCAACTTGCGGTTTTTAGGTAGAAGGTACAAGGTGAAACCTGGGAATTGGTAGTATTTCAGTTTGTCATCCGAAACATTTGCTTTCATAATTGTGAAAATGTCTTCACCATAGGTTTGTGGGATTTTCAGGACATTGAACTTATTATCTTTGACATCTCTCCAGCATTCCACTGGAGGATCTGTAGTTGTTGTGATTCGCCTTGACGGGAGCTATTTCTATTATAGCTTTTTTGCAAGATAATCATAATAAATAAGAGTCAAAATGCCGAGTGATGGACTTTTTGCCGTATTATGATACTTTGTCCAGGGTGCGCATCGTGGAGGTTTGTCTATCGCGCACCCCTAGATAAGGTATTTTGCTACACAATACATTCCGTTTAATTCACGTCATAAATTTATAGCAATGTTGCCGCTTATTTTAATCAGGCTCTTGGCTTGCGAAATTGCATGGGATGTAGGCTGAATGGTAGTCTTTTCGTTTCTAAATGGCATTCACATTCAAGTAGTAGTAGCAGATAATAGGTGCATATTTGAATATTTCTCCAGTTAAGTGTCAAATATAAATTAAATCTAAATGGTGTGGCACGTTTTCTACATTTAAAAGGACTTTCTTCACTGTAGATCTGTTTCGGTTCATATTTATGCCAAATTCGCTTGCCACAATCCTCACAGACGAATATTTATTTCACCAGTATGTTTGCGTTTGTGAGCGTTCAATCGAATTTTATGAGTATAAGACGTTTTGCGAACATCCCAAGTGAAACGCTTTTCTTCACATACGGTTTCCTTACTCATATTTTGGATGTCCCCTTGTAAGACACATCGTCAATGACCAATAGAAATCCTGCTTACTCAGAGATATTTAGCTATTAATGTTCACGCGAATTATGCTAGAGTTATCTGATAACTAATCGCTTTGCCAATATCACACTTCGCTATTAATATACGTATCGAATAAACGCATTCCGTGCTGGGCTATAGCTTAGCTGGTTCTGGGAGTCTAGCTAGATTTTGGAGAATTCTCCGTGCTACTCGTCTGTTTCCTTTATAGCTGGGCTATGGTTTAGCTGGTTCTGGGAGTCTAGCTAGATGTAGGAGAATCTCCCTGGTTCTGGGAGTCTAGCTAGACGTTGGAGAATCTGCCGTTCTGGGAGTCTAGCTAGATGTAGGAGAATCTGCCACAGATATAAACGCGCTCCGTGCTACACGTCTGTTTTCTTTATAGCTGAGCTATAGCTTAGCTGTTCTCTAGCTAGAGGTTGGAGAATCTGCCATAGAGATTTCTGATTCCTAGCTAGATGTTGGAGAATCTGCCATAGAAATTTCTGAGCCGGTAGCTAGATGTTTGAGAATCTGCCATGGAGATTTCTGAGTCGGTCTAGATGTAGGAGAATCTGCCAAAGAGATTTCTGAGTCAGGATTTTGGAGAATCTGCCATAGAGATTTCTGAGTCGGTCAAGCTTTACTAGCGAAGCAATCCGCTACACTCTCCAAATTCATCTGAATGAGCACCATTTATTGGAAGGTTACTCTCTATATTGGAATTGGAAAAGATAGGTATACAAACTAGCATACTTTTGCAAGTTGTAAAATTCGTATTCTGTTCATGAACTGTCTGGAAGTGGATTCGAATCTCATTTCTGTTTTCGGATATGAAATGGTAGCTGAGGCGGTGTAAATAATTGACTAAACATCTGACCAACAAAGAATCATCAACTTGATAGTGCCTCCCATTTTCCATCTCAAAGGTATTTGACTGGACAATGAAAATGTTTGTAACGCGCTATTTGAGGTGTTCATAAACTTTCTATTTCTGTCGCACCAGTATTTGTTTTCTATTTTGATCTCATCACGCAACGGCGCTAGATTAGTTTCAATTCACCAAGAATTAAGTTGTAATAATTCTGTGAAAAATTAGGAACTAAGCTTTGGTCTAATGATTTCCACTTCGGTTAATTTCTGCAAAAATAAAAATCATGCCAAGAACTTTAATGAACTGAGAGTTGGACAGAAGGATTAGCCTTTTATTGATTGACAATAGTTATTTTTTAAAGAAGATAAGTTATATGTTTCAAAGCTAAATTAATTACGAAAATCATCATTTACCCTACTTCAGTTCTCAATTATTTAAGACCTACACGAATTGCTAAAGCACTCTCTTTTCTCAATCACTTTAAACGATTTGCAGGCTTACATGTGTTTTAATTCAACGAATTTCATTAAGATGGAAATCATTTTAAAATCAGACATGGCATATTTTGGTCAACTCCAAGATGCTGGAATTCTCTAAATATAATCTGATAATTCCATCATATATCCATTATCTGATAGTTCAATTCTATATCCATGTAAATACTGTGTCCTTCAACACAAAGCACTGATTATAAGCCACGCAATTTTAGGAAAACGAAGACACTAACTCCTGGCGATACTATTTGGACATTGGATTAAATTGAACAATATCTGATATCAGAAAATGAGGCAGAATTCAATATTTTTGATTATTTTTAAGTTATAAGTATAATAAAGAAAATTTAAAACACAAAATGGATTTTTAAAAGTTGTTATGAAAATATACGATTACTTTGACTTGACTCAAGATAGTACTGTTGATATTGCAGAAGACGTCTTCAAGCATAGCCCACAAATGGGATGTATTTCAGCAAATTATGCGCTCAGTTGAGTTCCGTTAAGGGTCTTTGTTCAGAAATGCTTCAAACATAGTTTTAAAAAATAGATGTGTGCCCTTATTGGAGAAATCGAATTGAATTTACTCTGAATTCACCTTCTATTTTCATTGATTCTTAGCAAATGGACATCTCCATGTGTTCATTTGCGTGCATCCAAATATCGATTTTGAAAGCTATACCATCTGACATCTTCGTTCCTAGATGCTTCTTCTCATGAATAGTGATGTTGCGCTATAAAAAACAAAATCTTTACAACATATCTCAGCCCATTCACTTCGAAATTCTATTAGTTTTTACAAGTATGTGCCAATTTGTGCAAATTCCAATCATCTATACTTGAAAAACTCATTGCGCATACATTGCATTTGAATGGTTGGTCTCGAGTTTGGCAAGACATATGTCCCTTCAAGTCGGTAAGATTCTTATAATACCTTCCGCATACATTGCATCTGTGAGGTTTTTCATCAGTATGCACAAGCAAGTGTGTTTGCATATTTTGTTTAGTTAGAAATTGTTTGTTGCATTCACAACATTTGTATGGTCTTTCTCCCGAATGCGTGCGCATATGTACATTTAAAGCATCTTTACGTTTAAATCCTCTTTTACAGTATCCACATTCGAAAGGCCTTTCTTCACTATGGGTTCGCAAATGGCTATTAATCAGGGATTTAGTTTTAAATTTTCTTCCACATATTCTGCAATTGTACGGTTTTTCATCACTGTGAACGGCTTTGTGAGTATTCAGTTCAGCTTTTGTCAAAAATCGTTTACCACAAGCTTCACATACGAATGGTTTTTTGTCGCTATGTCTGCGTTTGTGAACGTTTAATTTTTCTTTGCATTTAAAGGTTTTTCTACATACATCACAAGTGAAAAGCCTCTCTTCATTTGAGGTTTCCTTGCTCATTGTTGCGATGTTGTCTACAATCTCGTCAGAAGGACCAGTTTTCTTTGGAAGATTATTGCCCTCATTGGAATTTGGAGCTAAAATTACGATGAAGAAATAAATAACAGGCTTGTTCAAAATTATCGGTAGCCGTTTTGCATACATCAATATATATAACATTGAACATTCAAATCATAGGAAGATTGTGTGCCTGGTTTCGTATCAGATGTCTCTCAAATACCAAATTCCCCTTTAAAAACTCTTGATAATCAATGCTTCATCATTATTGAATCAGAAAACTTTATTTGAGATATACGACTTTCAAAGAGGTACAAATCGTATTATGATGACATTTAATAAATAAAATTTGAATATATGTAGAGTTCTGGCTCAGCAAATTCTCCAAAGTAGCGTGAACTTTGGCGAATTTAAACTAATAAGTTTCAAAATCATTATATGCAAAACAAAGTACAACAAACAGTTCAAATATTGCATTTTGCAACTCAAAGCACTATTATTAACTTCTCGTCAAAGTTTGTATCCAGTTTGTATCTTATTGGAAACTGGCGTTAGACAAACAAATTAGCATAAATAATAGTCAAACAGTTTCTGACTGCCGTTTACGTTCGAGTATGAATAGTCAAGTATATGCGTTTGCCAATGCCTAGACAACAATTCAACCATACTTGAAATGTTCTAAAATTGTCTCACCTGCAACAACAATTCTGAACTAAATTCTTCCCAACATTTGATGAGGAATTAATTCTTAATAATTGGAACTGATCGCAAAGGTTTCAACGAAACTTTCATTTTAATCAAGTGTTGGAAACGATAAGGTTGCAAACAAACATACCTAATGAAGTTGTCGAATTCATATTCTGTTGATGAACTGTCTGGTAGTGGATTCGAACCCGATATCTGTCTTCTGAGTTGAAATTGCAGCTGGGACAATAAAAATAATTGTGTGCAGTGTTGATCAATGAAGGAATGCCAGCTTGTTGGCGACACCTATTTTCCTCCACGAAAAAATTTGACTGAGTGCACCAATTAGAGACAACGCCGCGGTCTCTATTAAGTGGAAGCAAAATCGTATGGAAGCAAATAGTATGTGATCCGTGAATAAAAGAAATTACCCAAACTTAGCTTATTACAATTAAACAAGCAATACTCTTGTGGCCACAAATCTCTGCCAATAAAATGTCGCCGACCAAAAGCTACACACATCCATAATATTCTCATTTCTTATGAACCTTATCCCAATTAAACGATTATTAAAACTTTCTCATTTTGAAATTAGTGACATACCGGACATAAGTCAAATTTGTGTTCACATTTTGAGGTAAAACTTGCACTTCATTTTGAGGGGTGTTAGAGGCATTGTCATTTGATGTCACGGAGCTCTGTTGTTGCATTGCATTTAAAGCCAAAAGTGAGCTCACTAATACCTGGATTGTATCATCTAAATATTGATAATAATTTATACATGACATTGAGACAGCAAAATAAGTTAATGTTTAACAATATTTTTTCGATGGAATTTAATCGAACAAATACGAAACCCCAAAGCCAGACTTCTCTTCCACCTGCCGATGCCCGTCTTCCAAAGGCGAGAGGGACATGGCGAAGTAGGTTGCATTTGTTTTTAAGAAATTAGGATTCGATTTGGAATTTGGAAAAGGGAATAATAAATATGGCTTACCTCTTTGTAAATTTGAGATGAATTCCCATAATGGATTAGTGGATGTCGTTGTATTCGAGAGAGAAGATCTCGGATTCGTTCCCGACTCGTCATTTGTGTTATTTCTTTCAGTCATCTCTTGCCACCAAATTATTTTATCAGCTAGTTTTGAAGTGAATGCAATATTAATTGGTTTTCAAATTCTCTGAATAAATGAAGTTATTTACAAATTGCATGATCGGTCTTCAGCGGATTCGCATTCATTTGATTGAAGATCAAAAATACCTTTATCTTAACATTATGGGATAGTTTGGTGATTATTGTTGCAAGTTAGAAAATAACAGCTGTCAATAATTGCATTCTCACAGCAGAAGAACATATATCTTTGTGTAATAGCCGAGAACACTGGTGATGGATATCGATCAGGTTTTTGAAAGAATGGTCTAATCTTGTTTAATTCCCGCCACAAACAATTATATCATAAAATTAAAGTTTATGCAATTTAAAACTGTTGGATTAACATATGTTTATACAAAATTTTAGCGGTTATGTATTTATTTATTTCAACTGGCATTACGAAATATATCATTAGCCCTTAAACTTTGACTTCAACTTCCCCCAAGGTGGTAGGGGGTACATTTATAGCAGTTAACTAATAGCAATTCATTAGCTGTCATCTTGCTTCCCAGTATCTCCGTGTTTCCATCGTTGTCTTTAGGGCTGGACGCCGAATCAGGTGGGTCTTATCCATTTCCTCCTGCAGGTTACATAGAGGGCATGTGGATTGAGTGTATACTCCCAATCTGTGAAGGTGTT